CACATAGAATTTGGTATTGCACAGTGGGGAAACTGTTTTTGAAGAAAAAGAAACTGTGGGGAGTCGGTGCTCAGTGTGTGAGAGGAGGAGAGATAAGCTATGATACTGATCACTTATAAGCTATGTTTATTTAAAAAATATTACAGCTAAATTCTAATTTAATTCTAGAACTACATTCCAATTTTTGATTCATTTAGTATAAAATTACACAAAACTGACTGATGAATGATGCAGGGTTACTTTACAGATAAATATGACAAGTACTGTAGTTAATGTTGTCTTGATAATAGACTTCAGGTTCTTCCCTCAGTGTTTTTCACTCTCCCTGAGGTCCTTTGGTGTTAATTGTTATCATTATTATTACGTATTGTTATAATCTCTGCGTATTCCTGTTTCAAATGATTCTCTCTTCCAGTTTTTTGTTTTTGTTTTTTGGGGGGTAGTCATTTCTCTCCTGTGTCTTGCATTTAGTTTTGCTTCCTTTGTATCATTTCCTTTGTTCATGTTCAGGTCATTCTTTAACCTTCACTCATGTGCTCCCTGTTCTCCAGATGTTTTTATTTTTTCCCCGTGGATATTCTGCATACATTCTAATTAAATTGTAGTTTTCACTTTCATTTGAAGTACTGCATTTCTATGCCTCTCACTCGATCCTTCATGACAGATCACACATGCATATGCAAATGCTGCTCACGCTGTTACACAATATAATTAATTTAGACTTTCCACTTAACCTAAACTCTTTACATACACACTACTCTAGTGCAAGAATAACTCTACAAAAACTTTGCAAACTCTCAATGATTTGCTTGGTGATATATCAAAAAAAATGTATATTAATGTCAGTATCAATGTAATTGTAACCTGGACGTGTGTCCCTCTATCTATAAAGAGATGATCTATACTGCTCAACCAAGTGCAATGTCTACAATATCCGAATCTAGGTTTGGGAAGGAGATTGGCGGTAGCAACTCTGTAAGAGCAATAAGACTTCCAACCCACATAACACGCACAACCACAGGTTTATGAAACAAAGTTTGCTTTATATATATTTCCTTTGGATCAGTTCCCTTTACTCATCCTCAATGTAGGGATAACTTCAAATGCAGTAACCATCTCAAATGCATCACAAAAATAATTGAAACAATCAAAATAGATGTAAGACAAGAAACACAATATTTCAACACCCCAAAGAAAAGGAAAAAGAAAAGAAAATAGCATGTGAGTGTCCAGTTCTTTATGGTGTCAGTTTATTCAGTTACCCACTGTCCTGGGTTAAGAACTGAAAATGACCTGAATCTCAGGCGGGGAAAAAGTAGCAAAAGAAAATGATAAGGTATCTCTCAGGTGGGCTTCCTTTTGTTTTTTTCCCTACCGCCCTCCTAGTACGGCAGGCATCAACGTGTCGGCGTCCTGACACACAGAAGGCCTCCACAACAGCAACAGTGTCTTAGACTCACGATACCAGCTCCTCACTCGGCACACATGGAACTGTACCTCAAAAAAAAAAAACCAACAGTCTGCACACAAATATGCAGAATGTTAGATGTCCACATTCCTTAAATGTCCTTGTTCCTAATGTCCCTGGTTCTTTTTAAATATTAAAATAAATTTGCATCTTGTGACACCTTAAAATTAAATACACCGGTATTACTGTGCATCACCCGCAGTTACAGCTACAGCACAGCTATTGCACGTGAACTGCGCATAACCACTTAGCTGGCCGCGGCTGAACTAGCAGGCCCAAGAAAAGAAAAACACTAGACACTCATAATAAACAAAACTGTCACAACGTCACAATACTATAAAAACACATCTTAAACATCATTAAACACATTTACTACTATTCTGACTGGTTAGTTATTTTTTTCAGTGCATTGAACTGCAATCCGGTTCTTCAGTCTGACGTCACTAGCCGTGTCTGGACCTAAACTCCGCTGCAGGTCCATATATCAAATGATCACTATGGCATTACTGAGAGTTGAAAAACTGTCTAAAGTCTTTCATCTTTAATAAAATGATCAGCATTCTGCTCTACCAGGTGTAACAATTGAGTTTAACATCCAGGCATCCATGAAAACGGAATTTATGACATTTAACGGAGTTAGAAGTTAGCAGGGAGCTTCTATCTAAATACAATATAGCATGTCCTGACTGCGGGGTTTTGGAAACAAATTAAAATTTACAGCTCTGTTATCACTTCCAGCGTAAATGAAGACAGAAAACTAAACAGCAGTGACGTTTGTAGGGTTACTGAAGTTGGGCTAGCTGGTATATAATGATGTGCTACATGACCGCTAGCGACACAGCTATGTTAGCATAATATAAACAAGCTAACTTTTTTTCCACTCGATAAAAGTTAACGTGAGTGTTCTCGGTGGTCAGGAACAAATGTAATCGCATGGCAGGATGCTGTAAAATGACCAAACTTCAGCCAGGAGAACAACTGAGATAATCCATCCACAATACGAGGTTAGTCATTCATATACTGCTGCATGGGCTGGGCTATAGTTACATCGTAAGGTTTTAAAAACTGAGCTTAAATAAATGATTAGCCGTAATAAAAGCAGAGGGAGGTCAACAGTGATCACTGACTGTTTTGGGAGCTTTTTGAGATTAAATAGAAGAAAATACATAACATTAAACATGTTAACAACACAAAAGCCATATTAAACGCAGACTACTTTAGGCCCGGAAGTAGGATTCCTCACGTCATCACTTAACAATCGGATAGCGGTGCTAAGTGAGCTAGGCTAACTCACCAGAATAGTTCAAAAAGTTCAAAACACTCCGACTCCTTTGAGGTAGGTACCCGTCTGTGGTTCACCGCTAACGACAGCGCTCTCACAAATGTTAATAGAACCTCTTTTCTCTCTTTCAACTGGGAAAAACCGTGCTCCGCGGCAGCATGGACTTTTTCCTTGCCGTCCTTTCCCCCCTACACCACACCTTCACGCGCACCGAGCTGCAGATGATGCCTTCAGGGCAAGCCCGGAAATTAAACTATCAAACAAGAACTACGATGCATTCAAAGAACCCTGTACTTCTGATTGCTGTAAATCTTACCAGGGTTACACAATTAAAGTCAATGTTTACTTACTAACTACAAATTACTTTTTTGTTTGTTTTTTGTATTTAATTCAAAAGATGCTTCTTGAAGATAAATCCTAGCACAAGATGATATAGAGAAGAACACTTTCAGCAGCCATCTTCCCTTAAATGAGAACATTTTCTCATCTTTAAGGAGAACTGGATGCTAGTCTGGTTCTGATATTCTTTGGAGAATGTCAGATGATTTTCACAGTGCGGTACTGTGAGCACGAGTCCCACTAAAAGGCTGCCAGCATTTATTCTGTACCTTTTTGCACAAAGAGATAGGTCCTAAGGCTCAGTCCTGTCCTGTCCTGCTTCCCTCATGTAATAGCCTCTCCCCTGGTATCCCCTCTACCACATGCAAAGCTTTTAAGAAAAAAATACTAAAAGCACAGAGCTGCAAAAAAAAGAACTAGGTTGCAGGGCTGGCATTACCAAACTGTTAAATGGTGCGTTATACCCATTTCCCGGTGTGTACATTCACATGCATCTGAGGGAATTTTACCACACGCGCCTAGCCCCCACAACAAGCGACTGTGCCGCCACTAAAGCAAAATCAAAAAGAACCTAGAAATTGTGGCATACAAAACAGCAAACAACTCAGGAAATAAGACATAAGGAGACAAGAACAAATGCACACACTCTAAAATACAACTCCTTTTAAAAGCACAATTACAGTATAACAAACAGTTAAGATGAAAACACCATAAAACAATGAACCAGTCAATGCCAGTCCATAAATAACAGCAAAGCAACAACAAGGCTACAACAAGACAGCAGCAGTGTGTAGGCCTGTAACAAGAGAGGGAAAACAATCATCCAGCGTCCACCCTACGATAGATAACCCATGAGGATCCTACTTACCCTTTAATAGTTATACATATTATTATTATATTATTATTATTATATTCCTCCCTGCAGCTGTCAGACTGTACAATCAGAACTGCTCCCAAAAAACATAGATGTTTACATCTGCGCTGTAACTGCAATAAGTTAATTAACCGATTCGCACTACAACCTGGTTTGCCTCTTACCTGTAGTTATTTTTATTTAATTTAATAACTGTACAGTACTCTGTTTATACTAACCATTGTCCTTAATGTAAGAAAAATTGTGTATGTTTCTGTTCCGTGTCCTGTGTACTGTTTGTTTGTATATGTGTCTTTTTGGCTGCTGTTACAACTAAATTTCCCCTTGTGGGACAATTAAAGGATTATTCTATTCTATTCTATTCTATTCTATTCTATTCTATTCTATATTAACCAGTTGCCAGGGGAAATGAATGCGGTCTGCAATACTTAACAGGCTGTGATCTTTGCCACCTTGAACAGAAATTAGTGCAAACTGCCAGAGCTCAGGAGTAGACTACAGTTGTTCCTTATAACCAACATCTGATTAACAGCTAAGGGAGAGGTTAATGTTCATGCTGCATTCACAGAAAGCATGTTTGAACCAACATCCACCACATCTAACCCACTACATTTACTTTTACAAATTGTTAGGAGTTTTCTGTATTAGTATTGCATTACAGCAGTATTATGAAATTATTACACAAAGTAAATTTAGTGTTTTATTTAGCTAAACTCTTTCAATATTCACAACCATCAGTATGCACTTGATAAGATCTGTAATGTAATTACAATAACATTTTCTGTATATTTCTAATATTGTTTAATCTCCGTTTACACCTAAAAGAACTTTATTTTAATGTAATACAACGTAAAAAAAAATATGGACTTTTTTGTGTATTTTAATTATAGACAATTTCTGTGTTTTTACATGATGACAAATGTAAACACGGTAAATTTCAGTTATTGTGCGCTATTTTTCTGCTGCTAGAATATTACTGGGTTTTATGGGTTTTTAAAAAAAATAGTTTATGTAACACTTTTTGATTTTAGTCAGTATACTAAAAATATGCCAGACGTGTATTAAAAGCATCAAGGCTAAAAAGAAATTTGGCTGAGCAGAAAGATGAAAGAAATTTAAGGAACAGGCCAGAGTGATGTGAAAACATTATTTTGAAAGGAACTTACCTGGAACAACACTGGTTACATTCTTTAAGATCAGACTTACTTTTAATTTTTTTGAACTGGTTAAATTCTAATTGGTTT